CTCAACTACATCATCATCCATACATAGTACAAAAAGAGCTATTATCAAGAGACATACCTACTACCAAAACGAGTTGTCCCAACCTTCATACACAATTCCATAGAAATTTGAATAGGAACTAGCAAGCAATTTCAAGTTCATATGATTGTATATTAATTAATAATAGAAAGACAATGTAAGGATATGTTAAAAATAACTTAAAATATAGAAGAAACTTATCTCTTTTACAAAGTATTTAGGGTGGTATGGTCATCTTTGGAGGTTTAATGAAATCCTCATGAAGTCCTATGATTGTGTCCAATACTCGGTTGGAGTGCCAGCTGACAGTCTCACCCGAATGGCCAAAATCATGATTGAACTTATCACTCTTCAAGTTCTGACTCAAAGTATGTAGGAACATCACTACTTGTTCTTCTAGTGATACTTCCCATCGTGTCATTTATCTATCCTCTTTCCCCAAGGAGATTTCATAAGGTGAAGAATGCTGCCCTACTCATACGAAGTTGGTCCCGACAATCCGCCTCTCCTTTATTTCGAGGTAGTAATTGATACCCAATGACTTACGTATATGACCTTCTTGTCTACAACTACAAGCATCTAGAAATGTTGTTATCGCACATAGAGTTGCGGTGTAAAAACTATCATTTTTCTCTTCCTCTATTGTTCATCAGTTTCCTTCATTTTGTATGACACAAACAATATGTATTCCCTAATTTCTATAAAAGCAAAGATATTCACCATTTAAACTTCAAACTAGAATAATTTGCAGACCTAACAATATGAATAAATAAATTGGTAAGTCAGTAAAGATGTAGAATTATAATTGGAAAAATTCCGTATAGAAACTTAATTCCTTGTATAATTTCATGGTAGACCCTTCTTCCGTTTTTCTTTCAAGTGGCATAAGAAAACTCCTAAAGATTTCACCATACCCCATCAACTCTTATCTCCCTCTTTTATTGACTTTTAATTATAAAAATTAGCCCTAACAAATCTTTTTATACCATCTAAACACAAAAACTTTTTTAATTGGTGGAAAGGGAAAAAGAGGGTTAAAAACGCTTTT